TATTAATGTATTAAAAATATTTGAATATTATTATACTAATTATTAAACATTGCATTAATTAGATGTATACTTAAACGTAAATGAAGTTAATATTAATTTCAGTTTCTGAATTTAAGCTCTTCATTGAAAATAAAATTTATTATAAGAAAATTTTAAAAAATACGTTTTTACATAATGACGACGTTTCGTTGAGCAATGCCACTAAATGAATAATTTAGTGGTGTTTGTAGCATAAAACACCACTATAAGTAACGACGCTCTTTCCAGCAAACACCGCTAGTTAGGTGACGTTTTTTATAAAAATGCCTCTAAAGTGACGGAGTTTTTCTCATAACAACTCCACTGAATTAGCGGTCCCTATAAAATACAAACGCCGCTAATATTGAGGCGTTTTCATATTCAAATGCCTCTAAAGTAGCGACGTTTTTTGTTACAAACACTATCAATGCAACGGTGTTTTTCTCATAAAAATATCACTGAATTAGCGTCAACTAAAAGATACAAACGCTGCTAATATTGAGCCGTTTTCAGATTCAAACCCTCTAAAGTAGCGGCGTCTCTAGGATTGGCATCAGGTCGGGTTCGGGGCTGGTTTTGCTCGTCCCGAACCCGACCTGATTTTATGCTTTATTAAACCTGAACCCGATCCTACCCAAAATTTTTTTATTTTTTCATACCTGAACCTGACCTGACCCCGATATTATGTAAATCATACCCGACCCTATCTGACCCGAAATTAATAAAATATTATTTTTAAAATATAAAATATTATTTTTTAAATATAAATATTTAAAAATATCATTATATAAATATATAATTAAAAATTAAAATTTTAATTAAAAAATAATTTTTTATATAATATTGGGTCGGGTCGGGTCGGGTTTTAGGCAAACCTGACCCCGATTGTTTCCTAACTTTACCCGACCCGACCGAAAACCCAAATTTCAAAAAAAAAAAAATTGACCCCATAAGGTTTGGTAAGGCCTAAACCTGTCGGAGACGGGTTAGATCGCCCTCCTTAGGCGTCTCAAAGATATAAACGTCGCTAAAATGACGACGTTTCAGATATAAACGCCGTTAATATTGAAGCATTTTTTTAAAAACACCGTTATTTACCTTGACGCATATATAAGAGGCACTTTGCATAGCATTTTTCGCAAACGCCATAAACCTTATAGTGGTGTTAATAAACGCCGTTAAACGGTAAAAAAAACCGCCACTAAAAATCAAAACCCCTATAATGTTGCAATTAAAAAATGTTAATTACATTGTTAGTATTTTAATTTTGAAAAAATGTATAATTTGGTATTTAAAAGAATAAAATATATAATTTGTACCTTAAACTTTCAAATAATGCATTATTTTAATTCAAATTCTAATATTATTAACTTAACTCACTTATATGACATTTAATCAATATAATTTTATTATATGAATATTATTTGTTAAATAAAAATTTTAAATATTTTGTAAAAACCTTCATGTTGATGTCATGTGACAAAAAAATAATTGATCGACCGTAAATATATTTTATAGTTTAAGTAAAAATATATATTTTTTAATTTATATTGAAAAAAAAGATGTTAATAGTACAAATAGTACACACCTAATTTGATAATATTTGTTAAATGTTGTATAGATAAGTTGATATGGTTAACAGGATTATAATTTAAGTTAATATAATATATAATTTGAAAGTTTAAAATATAAATTATATATTTTATTTTTTTAGATATCAATTTGTATATTCTCTCAAAATTCAAATAAAAAAATGTAATTAACTCAATTAAAAGTAATAACTTTAGCATGATCATACAACATTGGTAGGACAACAGTATTAGTAGTAGTAGAGAAATAGTTTTGGTCTAAGGTAGTATGGGATTGGACAAAGACTCAAAACATCTCTTCTATAATGCTTAATATTCAAATTGCTTTCCGTTTCCTTTTACTTTCTTTATATTCAAATTACTTAGCGTTTGAATAATGACAAAAAATAGAGTTGTATTTAATATATTATTTTCAAGATAATTTCCTGTTATGTTTGAAAAGATAAATTTAAACAAGTAAAACTGAATTATATTTTTATATTAATTGTGATAATGAAATGTACACATTATAATAAATTAATTAAGATTCAATATATATATATATATATATATATTTGAAAGGTACAAAAATATGAATTTCAAATTCACAAATATTTATAGGTATTTTAAACTCACCCTTAAATAAGCATCCAACAAATTTATGATTTTGAAAAATAATTATGACGGTTATGTTTGTATGTGATCTATCATACAATTTATATCGATTTAGAAATCCAAATCTCTTTTTTTTTTTTATTGGAGTTACCGAACGCAATCTTTTAGCTATTTAATTGTTATAAATTTTAATTAATATTATAATAAAATGAGAAATCACACACACACACATATATATATATATATATTAATTGTAACATACATGAATACGCTTATTACATGGACGTTTATATAGATCATTTTTTTAAATGCCTATAGGATAGCTTTTTTAAAAAGTATGATAGTTTCTTTTAATTACAAACTAAAAAACTTTTTTTCTCAAATTGCAAAATTATTTAAATTATAATTAAAAATTAAATCAATTTAGATATATGTTTTTTAAAATTAAAAATTAAAAATATGAATTTTATCTTTATAATAGATAATTTTAATTGTTTATCAAATAATTTTATTTAAGAAATTATTTAATTATCAAAATCTTTCAACATGTTTAAAAATTATGAAAATTAAATTTATCAAAATCTTTCAACAACCATTTTATCTTGATTTGAATCAATAAAAAATTATTTTTTTTCAAAAATTTACGTAAGACATTAAAAATTCAAATAACTTTTCATATTAAATCTTTAAAATAATAAGACCTTCAAAAGGATTATTTTTATCTCAACTTTAATTATCAAATTTATATTTCAAATATATACAAAAAATTTGATTTCATCTTTATTACTTATTATATCCTTGTTAAATTTAAAAAAAAAAATTAATTTAAAATTTATCTATTTAATTTTAATTGCCACTCAATAATGCTACTATAAATGCAATGTATTATTTAAATTTTTTATTTTTTCGGTTTGTAACTTTTTTCATGGTAAATTTTATTACTATAGCAATTTATTATTATTTTTTTGTTTACAACTTCTTTTCCAAGATATATTTTACTAATATTGTAATTTCATTCTTATGAAAACTAATATTTTTTTCAATTTATTTTTTCTTTTTCACATATCTTCTAGTATTTTATGTATTTTGTACAGCAATTTTGTTAAGATTACAAAAGTGAAAACATATTAATACTTCTTTTATTATTTAATTCATTATTCAATCTTTTTTTTTAATTTTTAAGAAAGACATAATTTATTTTTATTTAATATAAATTTGCAAATGTATAAATATTATTGTAGATAAAATAGTCCAAAGGAAAAATATGTCACTTTTTTTACTATTTTCAAAAAGTTTATTTTTTAAGACAAGTCAGTATATTTAAATTTTATATATGTTATAAATTTTGAAAATTTAAATATAATTTTAGAGAAAAAACTAATTTATATATATACGCATATTAAATAGGTAAACCTATTTCATATATCCCACATGTCACAATCTAATTATTTGATAGAATGAAATATTTTAACTCCACAAACGGAGTTAATATAGTGATACATGTCCATATTTTTTTAAAATTATTTTTTAATTTTTTAAATATACATTAAAAAACATATGTTACTATATTAATATAATTTATAAAATTAAAAAATTTTACTATCAATAATAATTTCTCTAATAAAATACCTTTTAATTTAAGATTTGGATGTTTGATATGATTTTATAAAACAAATTTTTACATATTTGAACAATTTTTAATTACTCTACCTTTTTTTTTTTTTTAAGATTTAGGAAGATATAGTTCACGATTCGATTTCTCTTATATATATATATATATATTATAAAGTTAATCAAATTCATAAATAAAAATTATATTTTCATTCCAAAATTTTCCTTAAATTTTACATTGAATTTTTTATCTTCAACTTTTTTAATTTTACATTACCGTGGTTAAAAATAATACTCTATATAATTTGATATATGTTATACAAAATACAAACTTTACATATGAATGTAAATTTAAGTTAATATGAACATTATTAATTTTAATTATTTATACAATATATAATTATATGTTCAATATGTGATTATTTTTAAAAATAAATACTCACGTGCATTACAAATGACAACAATTATTAATATATGTAAATTAAAAAGTATAAATGAAAATGGTCTTCCTAAAAAGAGCTTGTGGCAACTGGCAAACGTGACCCCATGGCTCGCCGATGCTGTTGTGGAGAGTTGCAGTATCTGGAGGTGTGGGGTTATCCAAGAAAGACTTTGAATGAAGCCAGCTATATTCACTCAATGATGTCCATAGAATGGAAAAAGGTTGAGACCAAAAAAATAGAACTACAGTGATAGGACCACCTGCAAATGGCAGATCATTCTTTCTCTTCTCGCTTCTAAATCGCAATAGGCATCACAAAGTAGATCATTTTTATAAAGTATTGGTGTTTGTTTAATAGAAAATATAAAAATTATCATATTATAATTTAAATTAATATATTAAAATAAAATATATATTTTTTATTTTTATTAAAATTTTAAATTATATATTTGTATATCTTTTATATCATTTTATTTCATATTATTATATTATATTTAAAATTATTATATCTATATATACCCACCCGATAAAATTAAGAATAAAGAGGAACAATATAAATAATAAATTACTACAATACAGATAGCTATGCTCAACATTTATTACATGGAAAAGCAAAACGACCGATCCAAATCGATTCCAGATGTTGTTATTATAAACGTGCATTTATACCCAATCTTTATCTACATTCATATAATATCAAAACAAAGGCCAACCGCCCCTCCCCCCCCCCCCCCCCCCCCCCCAATATTATGGTGAGGGGAAAAGAATTTGAGGATGGCTGAAGAGCAAGTAGCAACAGAAGTTGCCATTCATGGAGACGTCTTAGAAACCATTTTCTCTTACGTCCCTCTCATTTATCTTCTCCCAGCCAACACCGTCTCCAAGGCCTGGAACGCCGCAGTTTTTTCCTCCCTTCGTCGCTTCAACAAGCCCAAACCTTGGCTCATTGTCCACACCCAGAGCATCCGCGCCTCTCACGCCACCACCACCTTCGCTTACGATCCGCGTTCCAACATCTGGCTTCATATCCACCAAAAGCTGGCCACTAGACACGAGTCGGCTCTACATTCCTCTGACTCCCAGCTCCTCTACACTCTCACTCCTTCCAAATTCTCCTTCTCCATCGACCCTTTCCATCTCACGTGGCACCATGCGAACCCACCCGCAGTCTGGCGCACCGACCCCATAGTTACCGTAGTTGGCCACCGCATCATCGTCGCCGGCGGAGCCTGTGACTTCGAGGACGACCCTTTGGCTGTCGAAATCTACGACATCAACGCTCGTACGTGGGAAAGGAGCGAGTCCATGCCTGCCACCCTAAAAGACTCAGCAGCCTCAACGTGGCTCTCCGTTGCCGCTGATACGAAAACAATTTTCATGATGGAGCAGATGTCCGGCGTTGCGCACTCTTTTAATCCCGATTCTAAGATCTGGTCTGGACCGTTCGATTTGCGTCCTGATCGAAGCATTTACTTTTCGGTGATAAGGTTTCATGGGGACAGCTTGATTATGGTGGGACTACTCGGAGATTCAGAGAATATAAATGGTGTGAAAGCCTGGGAACTAAGTGGCGAGTCATTGGAGTTTTGTAAAGAAATCGGGGTGATGCCAAAGGAGTTGGTGGAGAAGCTGAAAGGAGAGGGAACGAGCTTTAGTTCAATAAGAGTAAGTTCCAAAGCTGATTTTTTCTATATATACAATCCTGGAGAGCCTGGAGAATTGGTGGTGTTAGAGGTTGGCGGCGAAGGGCTGTGTCGGTGGGGAATTTTGAGGAATGCGGCGGTGAATGATGGTAGCAGGGTGGCGGAGAGGTTAGTGGTTACGTGCTCTGACGTGGGGTTGGGTGATATAGGTAAAGTGGTGGGGTCTGGGAATGGAATTTTCACTATATTGAAATGTTAATCATTGGTTTTTACCTGTTTTACCGTTGTTGAATCATGTTTTGAACTTTTTTGTAAGTCTTCATCAATTTGGTGTGTATTTGGCAGTGAATTTCGTATATTTGTTTATTCATTCGGGCTTCCAAATTATTTACCGCGGTAAAATATGATTGATTAATTGATAGTTTAAGTAATAGATTTTGATGCCGACTGAATTTTGGATTACTTTGGTACGATATCCAAAATTACGTTTGAAAATTAAGACTATGAACAGAGTTTATATTTGTAATATTTTTTCAATAAAATAAACATACGAAATTAGGAATTAAAAAGAAGTTATTTATTTTTATTTAGATGGGATTATCTATTTATCTTCGTCATTGTTTTTTTTTTAAAAAAAAAATGCAACTAAAGTTAGGAAAAGATAGTAGTTGCTGACACTTGAATCCATTAACCAACCAACCCATCCATCGTCCCCTTTCTTATTATAGCTACCGGACAATAATTAAGGATGTTCGTTTGATTAATTTAATTAATTTTAAATTGAATTATTTAAAATTAAATTAATTAAATTACTTTATTTTTATTAATTAAATTAAATTTTTAATTTTAAAAATTAATTGATTAAAATTAATTCTATCAATTTGATTAATTTTTTTATTAACTAAAATAATAAAATATATTAAATTATATTATATTTTGAATTTTTATTTTTCATACATAAAATAAATTAAATAAAATCATTCAATAAAAATATTCAAATTTCAAAGTATTAAATTAAAAATTTTAATAATTTGAAATAAAATTAACAAATTTATGTATTTGTTATTTTAAATATATATTTACAATATTTTAATTAAAATTTTAATTAATTAAATTAATTCAATTCAATCATTTTTTATAATCAATTAATTAAATAAATTAAATCGATTTAATGATTAATTCAATTAAAACTGAATTACCAACAATCTAACAACAACCAATTACACAAAATCAGACACCAAAGGCTTTCGTAAATGGTGGAGTCTTTATGAAGACACTGGCAGTCCGTTTGGAATTGACGGTTCCTCCAGTAAGGTGTGATTTGATCAAATTTTTTTTGGCTCGGTCAACACCATGATCATAAGTGGATAACATAATATGCGGTGCGGTTAGCTTTCTTCCCCACACCGAAATTCCAGTGAAGGATAGGACAATAATATCCAATGGACTGAAGCTCCAATTAAAATTTTTTTATTTCTATTGAAATTTTTGTATTTTTATTATGCCTTTAAATGAGTTATTATTTACTAAAAATTCAGGATCTGCTTTTTTTCTTTTCTTTTCTTTTTCTTTTCGTCCCATTCCTTGTCAAATAAATTTTATTATTATATTATGAACTAAAAAATAAATAAAATTTATTATTATATAATTTATATGAGTTAATTAAAAATAGATAAATAATAAAAAATATTATTTGATATATTACTATAATTTTTATTAGTTTTTAATTATTTATTAATAAATTATTATTTAATATAAAAATAATTGAATATTTTAAAATATTTATTAATTTTAAAAATATTAAATAATTTAAATTTTTCATTATATACATTTTTTAATCCAGTATTTTTAATGATCAATTTCTTCACTAGTAAATAACAGCAAAATTTTACCTAATAGTTTTTCGTTCTATCAACCATATATATACTCTCTCAGTAACTGTTATTTTGCTCCTTACTTTCTTTCAGATTAAAAAAAACTACCATACAACCACCCAAAAAACTTTTAAAATATAATTATATCTCTACACTCACCGATGGTGAATTTCTACCAGATATTCCACAAACACAAATTGCAGTACATGTCGCTCACATCCCAGAAAATCAACTGATTATGCAACAGACAAAAATAGATATGAAAAAGAACTACCATTATAGTTTTAAAAGTGTGTATGTAATGCTACATTGTTTTTAACTTTTGAGAAACGACATTACCAACCAGCGTCTCTTCTTTTCCTTTTAGCATGACCATTCTACTTCTAAAAAAATTTATCACAAAAAACCAATGAAAAAAAAAAATCCTACGCGAAGAATACAATCATGCTTTCTAACAAAAACCAAAGCACATTAACAATTAAGAAACAAAACAATTACTAATACCAAACATTTGTTACAGAGATTGTTCCACACAGAAAATAAAATATATTCCAATACAAATTCATTGAATCATGCAAATATCCAATCACTCATCATTCAATATAAATATTCTTGTATAATAATGTAGATCTATGGGCATTAAGACTACTTTCCTCCTATTAGAGAAACTTCCTCTTACTCAATCTTAAGAAGGCAATATTGACTATAGCGAACTGTATAAGACAATGGCAAAAGATCCTAAGATATGATAATATCCAAATTTAAAGACCAAGCATGATAAAGCATAGCAAACATGCACAGATAATCCTTATCCTAAGATATCATAACCAGTAAGTTACTAATATGTACCACAACCAAATGTCTAGCAACAAATATGAGAAGAATGCCACTGACTTACATCTCAACCCAGACATTAATTATCAAGAACTGAAACAATTACCTTTTCTCTGTTCTGTTCGTGCTGGCATTTTTGCTCTTTGTCTTACAATCTTGTTCTCTTCCATTGTCTTCCGGAATTTCTCACTCACAAATACCAAAAGACTCTTCAAGAGCACTTTTTAGCCTTTGCTCTTTAGCGATCTTGTTCTTGTAAAAAATAAACTATTGGTTGTCCTTACTCATTTGCCTCATTTGCCTAACAGCCATCTCTTGATAGGATCTCATCTCAAATTTGAGCCTAGTTTGCCTAACATCAGTTTTACACAAGTGAATTAACCGTGTAAGTATCTGCAGAACTACTTATTTATGAAGAAAATGATAATGAAAAATCTCAGAAATTAAAGTTATATTTCTGTTTATCCCTGCAAGCATATAATCATCATTTTTTGTAAAAGAGAGAAATAGAAAGAAATCCTTGAGAATGCTGGTTGAAGCTGTCCAGGTCTTCCATGTTAGCCATGTAACCATAAAGTTGTCGCTTGCCACCTGGATGAAATAAGACCCGACGGCGTTCCCAAGCCTCACTATCTGTTCCTTGCTCAGCAAAATGCTTATGTAGATGCTCGACTTCTCAATAACCCTTTGCTGTGCTCTAAAGAATCAGAAGACTCATCCTACGATGCCCCTGAGGACCATATGAATGCGAACCTTCACAGCAACATACGAGCTGAAATAGTCAATAAGCTCTTGGTTTCCCATACCAATCCACTGAAGTACAATGCAATAAATAAAAAGCCAGAACAGGATATGGAAACAGATTATTTCCTCTATAATTAGAAACAATTAGCTTTATTTATTGTAGTGTATTTGAAAATAAAACTGCATAAATTAGAGCAGTACCTTATCATTCTCATTTTGTCCAAGCCTGGTGTTCATTATCATGACCATAGGTGGCGAGACTATTTTATAATCTTTTTCTTCATCTTTTAAACCCCTCTATTTCCCAAAAGCTTAACCACAGGAATAACTGAGGTGCCTTTTCTACGCAATTCCTCATCCAGAAGTTCAGCAAGTTCACGATGGAGTTTCACCCTTTTTGCTCCTTTTATTTTTGCATGTGTCAATAGACTTGAAGGGCTCAATACCAGTCAATGGCACCAGGGCCACCTCGGTATGCTGGGTGTGCCATTGCCTTGTTGGGTTACTGATCATCCCTAATAGTTTATGCTGCTTGAAGCATCATTTTGAAGCTAATTGATTGAGTCATTTATAATATAGAGAATTGATAGTTCAACAAAAAGGCTTTTCTATGCAATATTTTTGCTGAAATCATTACCATTAACATGCAGTGCATTCTTGAAACATCTGCATAATTACAAAAATATAAAATAAGTAAAAGCAGCAACTTACTGGTTGAAGCCGGTAAAAGAATGAACTGCATCAATAACATACCGTAAGCTAGTAACAGGTAACCAACAATTAGTAGCAGCAATGGCAACCTCATTCACAGCAGAAGCCTATGAAGCCACTGCATCAACAGCATCCCCTTATTTAGAAATATATATAAAATAATCTACAAACAGTATATATAAAAAATAAAAATAAAATCAAAGGGAAAAAGTTTTTGTATACACATCAAATGGCTCGCACGGTGTCAACTGGGGCTCCTGTGAACCAATAAAAACACAAATAAAAAGTCAGAAACTTCTCAAACAAAAAATCTTTAAATTTTTTATAAATTAGAGGACTTGATATTGGTAGTAAACATCCTATTTATCCAAAACTTTTTTGAGTTTCATTGGCTTCGATTTTTTATTTTGATAATGAAATTTAAGTTTAATTGGAAAAGTAAATTTTGAACCCAAATATTAAGCTTAAATTTTATTTTTATTTTTATTTTTTAATTTAATTTTTGTTTTTTAGTTAAAAGAGTTAAAGTCAATTGAAAAAAAATATAAAAAAGAGTAAAAAATAAAAAAAAATGTGAGATTTTGCATGAAAAATCTTGAATTCAATTCAGCTCTTTAATTCTATCTCAAATTTCAATTTTAATGATTGAATAATTTTAGAAATACTTGGAGCTAAATCTATTGAAAAAGTGAAGATTGTATAAAGAATAAAATTAGGAGAGAAATTTTAGATTTGGTTGAATTAATTTTTTCAAATTGAAAAGAATTTAATCCTTATATAAGAACCTTAAATCTAAGATCAAAGGGAGGGCTTCACAGCAATTGACTTCAAAATCAAATAGAGGTCATTGAAAAGAGAGAAAATTTAGATAAAATTTTGAATCATTAAAAAAAAATAATCAACAACAAAATTTTTGCAAGAACATCCAGTTGGAGTTTTTAGAAGGAAGGTTAAGATTTATAGTAGTAAGCATCAATTTTTAAAAGGTGAAAAATTGTTACATTCCGTGATCCATTGAGGTAATGTTTGCTTTTTTTTTTTTATAATTTTTACATAACTTTTATAATATTGAATTACTTACTCTTATTTTTATATTTATTACATGGTATTTATTTTTGCATGAATTTGCATGACTAATATTATATTTGCATAATAATTTATTTGCTTAATATTTTATTTGCATGATTAATATATTTATGCGACTTATTGATAAATTTGCATGACTATTAATTTATTTGCATGATTTTTAATTTATTTACATGATAATCAATTTATTTATTTGTGTGACTGCATGATTATTATTATTATTATTATTATTATTATTATTATTATATATTTAATTGTGTGTTTATTTGCAT